TATTCAGATCTTCTATTTCTTTCTGATTCAGTCTTGGAAGTTGTATGATGCTAAGAATTTGTTCATTTCTTCTAGGTTGTCCAGTTTGTTGGTGTACAGCTGTTCATAATATTCTCTTATAATTCTTTGTATTTCTATGGATCTGTTATTTCTTCCTCTTTCATGTCAGATCTTATTTATCAGGGCCTTCTCTATTTTTTTTCTTAGTAAGCCTAGCTAATAATTTGTCAGTTTTGTTTATATTTACAAAGAAACAGTTCTTAGTTTCATCGATCTCTTCTATTGTCTTTTTAGTTGCTATATCATCATTTGTGCTCAAATATTTGTTATTTTTTTCCTTCTCCTAACTTTGGGCTTCATTTGTTCTTCTTTCTCTAATTCCTTTAGGTGTAAAATTAGCTTGTTTACTTGAGATTTTTCTTGTCTCTTGAGGTGGGCCTGTACTGCTATAAACTTCCCTGCTAGTATTACTTCTACCGCATCGCCTAGATTTTGGTATGTCGTGCTTCCATTTTCATTTGTCTTCAGGTAATTTTTTATTTCTCCTCTGATTTCTTTGTTGACCCAATGGTTGTTTTGTAGCATGTTGTTCAGTCTCCGCATATTTGTGACTTTTCCAGTTTTCTCTTTTTAGTTGATTTCTGGTTCAATTCCATTGTGATCAGAAAACATACTTGATATGATTTCGGTCTTCTTAAATTTATTGAGTCTTGTTTTGTGTCCCATGCTCTATCCTTGAGAAAGTTCCGTGTGCACTTGAGAAGAATGTGTATTCTGCTGCCTTTGGATGGAACATTCTGTACAAATCTATCAAATTCACCTGGTCTGTTTCATTCAAGACCACTGTTCCCTTGTTGACTTCTGTCTGGGTAATCTATCCATTGATGTAAGTGGGGTGTTAAAGTCCCGTAGTATTATTGTGTTACTGTCAATTTCTGCCTTTAGGTCTGTTGATAGTTGCTTTATATATTTTGGTGCTCCTATTTTAGGTGCATATATAATCACTGTTACGTTTTCTTGATGAATTGTCCCCTTCATTATCATATACTGTCCATTTTTATCTCGTTACCTTTTTTTTGGCTTGAGGTCTATTTTGTCTGATATGAGTATGGCTTTCTTTTGGCTGCTGTTTGCTTGGAGTGTCATCTTCTATCCCTTCACTTTTTGCCTTTGTCTGTCTTTGGAGCTGAGATGAGTCTCCTGGAGGTAGCCTATAGTTGGGTCTTGTTTTTTGAATCCGTTTAGCCAGTCTATGTTTTTTGATTGGTGAATTTAATCCATTTACATTTAGGGTGATTCTTGATAGATGAAGACTTAGTGATGCCATCTTGTCTTTTGTTTTCTGTTTGCTCTACACTTCCTTGTGTTTTTGTCTGTCATTTTGGTTTGGTGGTTTTCTATGACATTTTTTCTCAGTTTCAGGAGGGACATCTCTTAAAGGGAGAAAAGTCCTGTGCATAAGCTTGGTTTCAGAGAATCCTGGGGTCACAGGAAGGGAAAATTTTGAGAACAGCCTTGCTCAGCTGTCTCCTGACTCAGCCCTTTGGTGAACATCCTTTGGGTTCCTGAGGAGAAGGAGTTTGAAGGAAAAACATGAACTGAATAGAAGAGATGTACTTCCATATTTGGTATTCTTAACCTGGGATGTGTGAGTCCAGAGTTTTTAGTAATTGTTTTATTGAGATGTAGTTTAAATGCTATACATTTAACCTATTTTAAAAATACAGTAGTTCAGTGGTCTTTACTATAGTCAGAGAGTTGTGCAACCATCACCACAGTCAATTTTAGAATATTTTCATCACCCCAACACCCTGTACCCATTAGCAGTCATTCCCCATTTCCTTCCTCTTTTCTGCCTCCCCATTCTCTTCCTCCTCCCTGCCTCCAAACCCTAAGTAACCACTAATCTCCCCTTTTCTGTAGATGTGTCTCTTCTGGACATTGCATATAAATGGAATCCTACATTACGTGGTCTTCCATATCTGGCTTCTTTCCCTCAGTGTAATGTTTTCAAGTTTCCTTCCTATTGCAGCATATACTGTACTTTGTTCCTTTGTATGGCCAAATAATATTTCGTTGTATGGATATGCCACATTTTATTTATCCATTCATCAGTTGATGGACGTGTGAGTTGTTCCCACTTTTTGGCTATTATGAATAATGCTGCTACTGTGACTGCAGATTTTAAACCTCCTGGAATTCTGTGATGTCCTTTTCCCAGTGGAGTTATAGTTTATGCTTAGTTTATAAACTGGCCTCGGTTTAGTTCCTCAGATGCCCCAGGTTCTTACCAAGATCAGGGCTTTTATAGGTGCCCAGGATGGTCTTCATCTGGCCGACTCCTGCTCATCCTTCAGATCATGGCTCAGATGTAACCTTCCTGAGTTACCTTGTGCAGACCCTCCCAGTCTAGGTGATGCCTCCTTCCTTATAGCACCCAGTGTGTCCCCTCCCCACACAGCTTATTAGTGTGCAAGTTTCTTGAGGACACGGATCTGTCTGTTCTGTTCCCTGGGACACGCACAATCCTACACCTATTGCCACATGGTAGGCACTCAATGACCAGCTGAAATAGTGTGGAATGCAGAGTGGATGTGGATGACCGAGAGCAGTATGCTAGCTCTCTGCCATAATCATAGACTCCAGCACAGGTGGGAAGAGGCTGCCTCCTTGTTGACTCGTGCTGATGCAATAGTAGGGACCCTTGTAGCTAAGCAGCACAGAGGACACAGGAGCTGGACGAAGAGGACAGCAGTGTGTCTCTGAGAGCATGAAGGGAGGGACTCCTGGCATGGATTAAATCTGGGGAGCATTGCTGACTTGGAGACCTTCTTTCGGGATTGTCTCTGGACTGACATGCCAGTGGATGCACGTGTTGTTTTGTTACCATCTAATAATAGCTAAATAATACCACCTACAAACAGCTCGGAAATGTGGGGCTGTTTTGCCTACTAGCAAGGGTGGGCTATGAGGGTGCCGTAGGTTGAAAACAAAAGAGAAAGTTAATAATATTAATTTTACCTGGCAGGGCTTCTCTGACAATATTCAAATAATTACAGAGGCAAAGCTTCCTTCTGAAGGGTGTTCAGCCTCCGTTAGCCATTGTCTACATGAACCTCAGCCTCCTGGGAAGCACACGAGTGAGTCTGCTCTACCTGGGACGATAGTCTGTAAGGTTCTCCAGGGATTTCAAAGAGAAAGAAGCATGTCTTCCAAGGCATCCCCAAACCCAGCAGCTGCTCCTATTGTAGTAAGGTAAGAACTCACCACTAGGTGGCAGTCTATCAACAGAAATTGCTTTCTATTTTACAGAATTCTTTCTGGATTGAAAGTTTCCGGGAATATCCGTAAACAATAAAAATATTAGCTAATCTTTTCCTTTTCCTTCTCCCATTTCCCCGTCCTCCTTTCCCTCAGATTTATGCAGATGATACCTTCCATTTTAAATGTTCTTTAATCCTTGTCCATCTCCTTAATACTAAAATAATGAAAAAAGTGTATAGAAACACAGAAACTAGACATGAAAAATTATGTTTTCCCTGCCCCCGCACCCCAAATACTAGTCCTTTGGGTTTTGAAGATGAAGATGACCATAAGATGAGGTATACCCAGTGGTCCTGACTTCTTGACGTGTAAAGGATACTTAGAAATCCGGTTCAATTCTAGTTTATAAATATTTTCTCCCTCATGAATGAAAAAACCTCTCTATGCTTCTTTTCAGTGTTTGAGATGAAGATGGAGCAAGTAGGAGAAATATATTTTAGCTGCTTTATGAAGAAAATTCATTCTATGTCCCTTTTGAATGAAAGGAAACTCCCTGGAAGGAATTCACTGGGGGAAGTGCAATTTGAAATTTAATTTGCTTCTCCCCAAGGCTGTTTTGATTCTGGGGAACAGCTGAATTTAGGGGCTCATAGTCCAGGCTCAGGAGGGCTTAGGCCCCTCCTGTTAGCAGAGGGCGGGAGCCCAGGTGGCGTCGGGGATCGCTCGGGGAGATTTTGCTGGTCTTGACCCTCCTTGTTCTTTCCACCCAGCCCATCAGGGCATTGCGATCCTGGGCCAGCACGCTCAGATTCTGCCTTTCAGCGTTCTTTCCACTGTCCCCATCGGCCAAGTTCTTCTGGGTCTGCTGGAAAGCTCGCACGGGTTATTCCGGAGTCTCACTCTTCATTCCTGCACTCCGCTTCTCAAGGTAGGTGTCTTAGTTATAACTCAATTGTGTCGGCTCCGAAAGAAATACATAGTCTGTATTTGGTCATGCATGTAAAAGGGTCTACGTAGGTTGAATTAAAAAAAAAAAAAAAAAGCAAAGCACCGAACACTATTCAGTTCTCCCATCTGTATTGAAAGAAGGAAAGGTGTGTATAAGAACATACCTGCATATGCAGGTAAGTTACTTGGAAGGATCATGGTGATGTTCAGAGCATTTAACTGCTGGCTCAGCCTGGGCAAACAGGGGTGGCTGCTGGCCTCGGAGCGGGAGGGGTGCCCGGGATGCCCTCCGGGAGAAGCTTTAACCCTTTCACGGCCGACTGAAATTCTGGGCCAGCAGCAGTCCATGGGCTTGAGACAGTGGCTGTTTACAAACCGTGGGGAAATGTTGAAGTATTTTAACAGCCTGTGGAGTTTCCTGGTGTACGCCGGCCGCTGTGAACCGTTTCTCCTGGGAAAGGGGACTGAGGGGTGGGAGGGACCTACTTTTCAACATGCCCTTTAGTACTGTTGAAAGGGTTTGTGTATTCCATTGAGCTGTGTACTTAAAGATAGAATTTCATTTTGTTTGGCTCAGGAGATAAGTCTTGGTTTTAGAATTTGGTTCTGGACATTCCTGTCTGGTCGTCTGACTCCAGCCTGTCTGCAGCCTCAGGGCCGTTTTCTCTAGTTCCGTCTTGCTGGAAACCCCCCACCCAGAGCTTTGCCTAAGCCCCTCTGTGCTTGCCTGGCTGAGCCCCTGCTCACCATCGCTCAGTCCCAACCTGCCGTCCTCAAAGTTGGTGTCTGGATCTCCTTCTGTTACTTATCCTGGACCTCTTGTCTCTCCACCTGCTGGACCTCAGCACCACTACTCACTAGTGTTTGCATCGCTCTGCTTAACCTTGTGACCAGCAAATCAGTGCTCTTTTTTTTGTGCACACAACTTCTGTGTACGTAGAACCTGTGTTTCCTAGGGTTTTACCTAGGTATCAGTGCTGCGGGTAAAGCTTATGATCTTAGTGATTATAAGGTAATAACTCACATCGCATTGCCTTCTGCCGCCACCTGCCTGGTGCAGAACCAGCCCTCCCTCCAGGGCTCCCCCAGCCTTTCTGGGAGGTGTGGTGGGACCTCCAATATGCTCCCTCGCATCTTTCCCTGGAAGACTTTCAACTCCTTGTTGGTGTCCCTTGCCATGAGACCACTGGGGGGCAGTGTCTCATCTCAGCCACTGTCAGCCACTCTCAGCCAAGGTTGCTCTCTCCTGGTGCCTCAAAATGTGGATAGAAGCCCCTTCCTTTCTATTTTGTCAGTTTTTTCCACCCAGGTCTCAAAGCAGCATGACTTGTGCCCAGAGTCTCACCCAGCCCTTCCCTCTCTGCCTGCAGGCTCTCTGTCCACAGGCTCGGGCATGAGTCTTTGGAGTTTAGGCAACCAAAGTCGGAGACAAGACATTTTTTCCCTCCCATGCCCCTTTCCCCACCCCAGGACTGTTCCCTCCTGTCTTGTCTCCACCCAAGGCTGTCACAAAACCGTCCCTCCCCTTCAGGCTGGTCGGCTCCTAACCAGGTCAACTGTCCCCTTAGTCCCATCAGGCCACGCTGTCTCTTCGTGGTGGTCACCGCTGGACTCAGGCTGACAGCCTGGCCACGCACGTTCTGGCCACACTTATCTCACTGTGCGCTCGTTGTCTGTTGGCCTGTCTGCTTCCCCAGTCAGACCGTGGGCTCCTCAAATGTGAGTTCCTAACTGTGTGGGAGGCACCTTTGTCTCTCTGACACCCAGGCCCTCCTGTTACGTGGTGGACCTTGATACATACCTTTGAAAAAATAATCAAACACAGTCATTTGGCACAGATACCCAGAAGGAAACAGCTCATCTTTACCCAAGGGGTGCTCCGGCAGCCCACGTGGAGGGGGGAAGCTGTTCTTAAAGGGCATTCTCTACCCTACAAAGTCGCGTTCAGAGGTCTTTGGGCACCTTGGGTTCTCAGGGGTGGAGAGGATCCAGGGTCAGAGCAGCACCTGGCAGAGGCTTAAACTTGACCTTGTTTTAGGAGAATAGCATGTTGAACAACTATTTGACTAGTTACATTTTACTGTGTACCTGCCGATTGAAAAAACAACCTGATTCAGAGAGAGACGGTTAACTCAATGCTCCATTCACCTGCACGCTTACAGCAGAGGTAAAAGTGACAGACTGAGACATAGACTTGTTCGTGCTGGGTATTGGGTGTCCCTTGTCTTATTAGTTAGTAGAAGTAAGTCTGATGCCACATGTTAGACCACTAAGGGCAAGTGATTCTTCACCCAAGAACGGTAAAGAAATTGTATGACTACCTGGCTTTGTTCTCTGAGAAGCAAAGCCGTGGATCAGTGCTGGGGCAGACCCTCTTCAGCTAGTGTGTGAGACAAACAGAGGTATTCATTACATTTGTTATGATGATAACAATACTGAACACGTACTTCAAAGCATGGCATTTGCAGAAATTGGAAAAAATAAGAATATGCCAGCAGGCTTATGAGCACTCAGTGGTAACATCACAAGTAATTACAGTCATAGGAATACTTTCAGAGATGAGGAGTGAGGGTGTAGCTTCAGAGAGAGAGAGATGGGGGGAGGGGAGAGAGAGAGAGAGAAGGGGGTTAAACAATTTGTTGAAGATCACATAGCTACTAAAAAGTCTCTCTAATTCCAAAACATGACCTCCAACCTCTATGATGCAGTGCCTGCTCCCTTGGAGAATGTTGCAGTGTGAAATCTTCAGATGAAAAACACGTGCTTTTCATGCAGTTTTAAAAACGGTATTTCCTGGTAACACATTTTGATTTCCCTGTTCTACATGCAAAGAGAAGCTTAGGCAGGCAGAACCTTAATGACTTGCTAGGTGAGAGGCAGGTTGGACTGCAGCACAGTGGCTGGAATGACCCGGTGCCCAGCGTCCGGTGACCCAGCACCTTCTCTGTTTTCTACTGCACGTTCTTGGTAACTCAGATGCTGGCATGAAGCCCGGTCTCCCAACCCACCCACCAGCCAATAAGCCAGCCAGCGTTTGTCCAAGGCCCACTCTGTTGTTCCTGCAGCAGGGTTTGGTGCTGTGGGGAATGCCAAAGCCAGACCAGACGGGGTCCCTGCCACCCCGGTGCTTGTAATCTTCTCGGAGAAACAAGACAAAAATACATGACACAATTGCAGAATCTGACAGAATGTAATAAAGTGCTAAATTGTGTGGTGTAGGCAATTAGAGATCAAGACAGTATATAATAAAGTGCTAATTGTGTGGCGCAGACGGTGAGTATAATGGGAATTCAGTGGAGGGATGGATGCGTGTGGGCTGCAGTCTTCAGGGAAGGCTTGTCATCGTGTCAGGCTGCCGTGCTTACCCAGTGCACAATGGGAAGCGGAATACGAAGTAGCAGACGGAGCAAGAGCAGAATACCCGTGTAGTTCCGTGGCATCTCCTCTCAGTCTGGATGAGGACAGACGGAGAAGGAGTCCTTTGACAGGTGGCATTCTCCATTAAAAAAAAAAATCAGACAGAGAAATGTTTCATTTTTTAATTAATTGTGTTACAGAAAAATTTTACAGAAACTTGGTCATGTTTTAAATTGAATAATGTTTTATATGTACTAGGAGAGTCCAGTGTTTAAAGAAGTTACATCATAAATCGTTTTCATTAATGAAGAATACTTTTGCAGGATAGATAATCACTTACTAGTTTATCTTTATACAAGATTCCTTAAATTAAGTAAATAGATACTCTTGGACACTACTGGTAGCCCTGATGAATGTATTGTGAGGTCATTTGGCAACATGTACCTCAAATCTTAAAAACATGCATATTGTTTGGCTTATCAGTTTCACTTCTGGGAATTTATTCTAAGGAAGTCATCAGGGCTGGCTGCAAGAATAACTTTTCTACAAGGATAATTATCACAGAGTTGAGAGAAACTCCCAATTTAAATGCCCTCAGATGAAGGACTGGTGAAATGAATTAACACACAATTAATGGAATGTGTCGTCACTAAAATGCTGGAATATGGGGGGAAATATTCACAACAGGTGATACGTGGAAAGAGCAAATTCTAAAACTTGTTAAGTGTGGTTTCATTTTTGTTACAAAGATACTTTATGCAGAAAAACTTACCAGAGCGGTGAAGGTATAGGTAATTTCCACTTCTTTATGCTTCTGTGCCATTTCCAAATGTTTTCCAAGCTACATGGGTTACTCTGTAGTAAAATATGTACGAAGACCCTATGGTTCTCTGATATAATTGAAGAGTTTAAGTAGTCATACTTTGGATTGGCATCCAGTGAGTTTTCTTTGAGCGGGGTAGACCTATCCTAGAGGGATTCCTACAGACCTACGAGGAGGGGAAGATGCAGGGGAGGTGGAGGTTGGAACTGAAGAACTCATGCAAAAAAAAAGACGTTCTGGGCTGAGACACAAGCATGAGAAGCATTATTCCCTTCTCCGCTGAATTACGAGCATTTCCTATTTAGCAGAATGTATACCTTAATTTTGTGAACTCATACCAAGGTAGGAGACATTTGGGAAGTAAGCACATTCTTTAAAGGCTTATGCAACATGAATTATTAGCAGCAGAGCCTTTCAGTGGGGGCGGAACGTCCAGGACGTGGATCAGTTTTTAAGACATCTGGAATACTAAAAAAAAGTATAGATGTACCAAAACAGAGTTTCCGAAATTGTGCTGTATTTTAAATGCTTATCTTGAGCAAGTGAACACCTTGAACACACAGAATACAAGAACAGAAAGTTAGGTGTCATTTGGAGATTAGGTCGGAAGCCTGAATTGGAGATCTTTGGTGAATGTGGGATCGAGGCCAGATTGGCCCCTGCCTTGAAACCACGTGGAGGATGTGGAATTTCTGAAAAAAAAAAAAAGCCAAAAATATCTGGAAAGGATTTTGGAATTTTTGATCCACGGGATTTTCCAGATCTAAAGTGAAAACAACATACTCTTTTTCTGTTCTGAGGACTTGATTTGGAACTATTTTGAAAGGGGCCTTTCTCTGAAACATTTCAATACAAAAGTACTTTATTTTCTCATCCTGTGACTCTGTATCTTACATTTTTTTAGGTTTTAACTAATTTAAGGTCTTAAAATATACAGGTTTGAACCCTTTTTAGTTAATAATTGTCTATTTTTACCTCGCCATCTAGCTTTTCAGCTTCAGTTGGCTCAGTGAGAATAAAACACAGCAAAGTCTACAGCAAAGTCAGAATTTTTCTTCCTCTTCTGTGCTTCCCAAATAGAGCGGAAATCCTCAGATCTCCTGGTTTGGGGGAAGTCAGACTTAGCTAAAACTGGAGCATGTTGCCTCTCTTTGAAGAATCCATCCTGTAGGAAAGATTCCTTTTGCGGAGATGGCAGCATCCCTGGAGTCCAAGTGAGGACTTGCTCCTGCACATCCCTTTGTCTTCCGATTTATTTGGGTGAATTAACCCTCTGTGCTCCAGGCTTTCCGTTGGACGGCACCACCCAGTGTTCAGCTGGAGGATGAGCAGCTAAAGGACTCCTGGCAAATGGCAGATGGCTGACATGGACAAGCCCACTGCTGGCACAGGGAAAGCCTAGATAAAATGTGGCAGCAATTAAAAAACATTTATATGCAACCAGAACTGAAAAAAGTAAAGGAAATGGTCTAGTTCTCAGTCTGAAAAAGGAACTCGGGGCCAGCGTGATAACTGTAACTGATGGTTCTGAGGCTGCATGTGGATCCTTAGACTCTGGGGGCTGGGGTCTTGAGTTCCAGGTAGACAAGGATATGTGGCCTCAGACTAGATTTAGGTGGGACTTTGTGACTAGGCTTGTCAGATTGAGCAAATTACCGAATTCCCAGTGACAGTTGAATTACACATAAACAATGAGTAATTTTTTTTTTTTAGTATGAGTATGTCCCAAAAGTTGAATGGGACATGCTTAAACTAAGAAACTGTGAATCTGAAATTCAGATTGAGCTGAGTGTCCTGCGTTTCGTCTGGCAGCCCTGTTACAGAGTTCCGTCAGTAAGTCCCAGAGCCCAGGAGGGCTGCCTCGCCCACGAAGGAGGGACTTGAGAAAACGCTGACAGCTGTTGTGAAGAAGCAGGAAGGAAGTCTGCAGTTGGTCTGAGGCTGTGGGTGGGAAAATGTAAATGCTCCCCAGGCCTTGCCATGAGAAAATGCAGGATTCAGATGTGTACAGCCTATGGGATACAGGAATCTCAACCTGAGAAGTTATCCTAAAAATTGGTCCAGGACCTTTGAACCCTCAGAGTCTCACCAGAAACAAACTGATGTGTTAGGGCTATTTCTGTAATACACAGATATCCATTGGGATAACCAGCCGTCCTGAAAATGAAGTCTTAATAAAAAATTACAAAGCAAATGAAATGAATCACCCTGGAGGGGAACTTGAAGGTAAAATAAAGAGGAAATGAGCTAACTTTAAACAATTGTAAAATAAATGTCTTTTAAAAGCCAGAGACATAAAGGAAGGAATAGAATGAAAGAGTAGTTTATTATGAAAAAAGAGCAGGTTTATTTGAAAAAGAAGTAAATGGAAAGTATAGAAGATAAAGGTGAATTTGTTGACGTTAGAAGCTCTAAGGGACGTGTTAAATAGCACATCAGACGTCTGAAGAGAACGAGTGAACGGGAAGAAAGATTAAGACAGTCATGCCAAATGCAGGACAGAGAACTAATGAGGCAGAAAAATAGGAACGTGAAAGGAGAAATGGAAGTTAGAAGGAGAAGGTCATGCATGCGTGGGCACACACACAAACACACAAACACATACGCTAAGGGAGGCATCAGGGAAGGGGGGAGTGGAGAGAACAGAGGTACAGTTGTTAAGACATAACAGAAGTTGCTTTAAAAAGGACACCCTAAAACATAGAGCTTATACAAGACAGAAATTTATTTCTCTCACTTATGAGTGCAGATGTCAAGGACTGGTACGGTGGCTCTGGTACTTGTGGCTTCTGCTTCAGGATCCCACGTGGCTTCTTTAGCTCTGGCCCTCAGGTCTGCATCCTAGGCAGGGGTAACGGTGGGGGAGTTTTCAGGGGAGGGAAAAGGCGTAAGCATGCCGATTTCCTTAAAAGCCCTATACAGGAGGTACACACAGTACTTCTCATGTCACAAAGCCATTAGGGAGGCAGAGCGAGGTGCTACCCATATTGCTCCCCCTCTCCAAAAATTGATAGTTCTGTTCTCAATGCAAATAGAGAAAAATGGATACTGGAGGGCAGCTAGCAGTTTATCCCACAGAGGTGAGGCAACATGAGAAGAGGTCATGAGTGGGAGTTTTCCAGAATTGATGAAAGACAAGGGTCCTAACAGTGAAAATCAGAGCATGTCCTAAGCAAGATAAACAGGAACAAACCTCACTTTGGGCTGATATTACAGATTATTAAAGTAAAACAAAAATATTAAAAAACAACTAGAAAAAACAGATTAATCACAAAAGAAGGGTGAGTAGATCAATGGCAAACTTCTGATCAGCCACAAGAGATGCTAGAAAACGATGAAATATCTTCGAAGTGTTGATGAAAAAATAATGTTCAACCTAGAAATCTCTGTCCAGCTGAACTATCATTCAAGAATGAGGGGGAAATAAAGGCATTTAATGATAAACAAATAATTTAAAAAGTGGACTCTTGCTGAAAGAACTACCAAAGCATATGCTTTGGTAAGATGGGCACTGGATACAGAAGGAAGATGTGGGACACGAGAAACAATGGTACTCTTCTCCCTGTATAATCATCTTGAACTCAACTGCACTTACAAATTCATCTCAAAATATATAAAGCAAAAGTGAAACAGGACTATGAGGATGAGAGGTACCATGGAAAGCACTTCAGATCAGAAGATTTGGGTTGTGGCCTCTGCTTTTACACTTCATTTCTCAGAACTTCAGGTTAGAACTAGGTATTTCTGTAATTTATTCTAACTTAAAAAAAAAGCAATGACAAGTCAACTCTGATTCACCAGTTTTACGTCCTTGTGGTGTAACTTTCCTGATTTACAATGTGGGTTTTGGATTATGACAGTCCTGGTTCAGATCCTTGCTCTGTTATTGATTAACTTTGTGATCTTGAGCAATTTAACCTCTTACAGCCTCAGTTTCCACATCTGAGAAACAGGAAAATAATTGTATTAGTCAGAGTTCTGGTGCTAGGGTTCTCTCGGCAATAGAAGCTGACTCCCACCGAAGAAATGGAAAAGCATTTTATTTTAAAAACATTGGGTGGATCACAGAACTGTTGCACTGACTGGACAACTGGGTTTGAGGATGAGCCTTGAGGAACAGTACCCCAAAGCAAGCTGACAAGCTCGTGGAAAACTGTCGCTGCTCCACAGCTGTGGCTTCTCCATGAGAAATACACCCTTGTAGTCCCCGAGAAATAGTCACCTCTGCTGCTGCCACCATGAAAAACCCCTCTGCTTCCCCTCACCAGCAAATAGGCAAAGATGGAACATCCACACAGGGCTTCTTTCCTTGTCGCTTACTCCTGAGTCAAAATCTTGTGATGGCATCCCTGATTGGCAGTAACTAGGTCACGTGCCTGAATCCGCGCTGCAAGGGAGGCTGGGAATTTGCATTCTGACTCAGATGTCGGAGTGTTGATGACTCGTAATTTGGGTATTTCCCCAAACATAGGAAGGAGACTCAAAAGATGAGAGGCTGCCTTGAATAGGATATGCATGCTTCTGATCATTATCATAATGTTACCTGTCCTGAATTTGAGCTCCCTCCTATGTTTGGAGAACCTACCTTTCTGTAAGTCTTGCTAGATGGAGGGTCGTCATCCTACACCAGAAGCCAAGAAAAGACCAGAAGTTGGTTTGCTTGAAATTTTGACATGAGACTTAGTACATGGACGTGACACTTAAAGCTCTTGCCCTAAGCCTTGTGACTGTAAGAGGGATGCGAAGAAGCAGGGGCAGTTAGGTAGTGTCAGGGAGGAAGAAATTGTCTTCTTCCCTTCTAGGTTCTTGTGGCTGGTTTAAAAATTAAATTGACAGGAGACAGATTTACAGGAGAAAATCAAACAAAAGTTAAATAACATGTTTACATGGTAGAAACCCAGGAAAACTCAGTAACTTGCCAAACTGGCCAAAGCCCTCATCTTTATTGTATTATTTTTTTGGAAAAAGATATTTCTATTCCATTTACATAGAGTTAGCCAACAGGCAAAACAAATTTGTGGGGTTAGAAATCAGAATAGTGAGAAATTTGGGGGGGCTACTGAAAAGTTGTATTTCTTGACCTGGGCTACGATTATGCTGATGTCTGAACTTCATACATATTAACAGAGCTGTACACCTATGATTTGTGCACTTTTATGTGTATGTTTTTTACTTCAGTCTAAAAAGTTAATGAAGTGCCCATCCATAGATGACTGGATACATACATACAACGGAATACTACTCAGCCATATAAAAGAACAAAATCCTGCCATCTGTGGGAGCAAGGATCAAAGCCCTCATCTTAAATATCATTTTCAGCTAAAGACAAAGGAGGAGGTTGGGCGTAGTGGCTTGGGACTTCAAAGGGGAGGAAGGTAATTTATGTGGAGATGGAAAAGCAAAGTTTGATAAATAAATGCTTGCCAGGCTATGCAGAGACAAATGGGATACAGAGAGGAATTACAACAAACAGAATCTCCCGGGTTGTCCTCCACCTGCAACATCTAGCTGGTAGTATGGTTATCCATGGTGATAACTCCCTTCCTGGAACAGGTCCTCCAGCTATGTTCTTTTAGGCTGTTAGAAGGAAGGTCAGTGGTTCTTCCTGAGTCTTATTTTGGGTCTCAAAAATAATCCTCCTAAATTAATCTTCTTGCCAAAGAGACACAATTTGTGGTGGCAAATTTTACTTCCTTGCAGTAGTCATT